TATATGAGGCAAATTATCCACAAAGGTGCATACCGCACGTTCTTGCTCTGACGGCTTCCCAGAAAAAACCCTATCATTGATTCTTTTAATTGCAACATCTGTACCTCTCCACTTCCCATGATACACAGTTCCAAAGGCTCCTGCTCCAAGTTCTTGCAACTCTTCCAGATCACTATTTTTTATCACCTGGATTGAACAGAAACAGCAATCTCAACTTCACGATACAACTTCCACACAGCAGAACTAACAGATGAAAAGGAAAACTGAACTCAAGCTTCTACCTGAAGGTGTCCAATCTCATCTGTATTTGGAAAACCATTCTTTACCTTCTCCGACGGTTTGGCCTTTGTGACCTGCGTTAGGATCATTTTCAGCACCAAATAAAATCAGACGGGCAAAAAACATAGAAAATTATGTCAATCACCTCTGTCTGGTCATCATCTATCTCTATGTTGTTCTCTATGGTGCCATTCTCATTGCCAGATCTGGGATCAGTCTCTTTTGTTTCATGAGAAATAATAACAGGTGATGAAACTTCAGATGACTTAAGTGTTGATGTTGATGGTCTTTCTTCAAAGGTCTGGATATCTTGGTTAATATTGACACCTTCTAAATCTTTAGCAGGCAAAGAGATAATGATTATAAGAATGTGTTGTGCAGTAATCTAAGAAACTACCGAGTAGACATTTCATGCAACATAAGAAGAGACACCTTTTAATAGATGTGCAGGCTCTGTGGGCAAGTCCATATTTGAAGAGTGTGGAAGACAGCAAGAAACCTCTTCGGCAGGAACAGTTATCTCAGACCTTGTGCTATTCAAAGGATAATTCTTATTATTTAAGGGCTTCATGGGCTTGGCCTCTTTGCTTGAAACGTTGCTGGGTCTTGGAGGCAGCACAGAACTACTCCCCAGGGTTTTCTGGGGATCCTTGTTGCTGATAAGTGGATCTGAGGAAACAGCTTGCTGCAATTGGTCCATGCTAATAGTGTGGTGGATAGTGCAAAACTGAGCATTGTCATTTTGAAGGATAGTTGTGTCACCAAGTATATCCGCTGGATGGGTATTAGGAGCCTCATCTTTATGTGCACTGCTGGGATTCTTATTGAAGGCACTATTGTTGTAGGTGAGATCTACATACTTGGACATCCCTCTTGGTCCAACTCCTGTTTCAAGATGGTATGCGTATGGTCCGTGGTTCCCTATCATATTTGGAACATGGCTAGTGTTGGCAGGTTTAACACCATGCAGATAGGCAACATCCTTTACTGCAGATGGTTGTTGATCAACCAGCACTCCAGCATTTCCTTCTGCAACAAATACAGGACTAATTAAGGGATTGCTAAGAGACCATTCATTCCCTCTATCTTGTGACCCAGTAGTATGAGTATTTACTTCGATCAATGGTCTCTCTGCAGGCTTTAAATCCTTGGAAGTGCCAATATCAGGCATGACAACTGGTCTTGGCCAGTCATTAAAATCAGGTTGCCCAGGAGTATTCGTGTAGATTGCTCTCGTCATCCCTTCCATAGGTCTAATATAGCCATAAAAAATTGCAGGCACAGTTCCTTGGACCGATTGTCCATCTTCTCGAAATTGTGAATTTCCAACTAAATTGGCATCAGCGGCAAATGGTTTGGCGATAAAATCCTGATTAACTGGATACTTAGGGTATCCAATATGTTGTGCAAATTGTATTTGCTGCTGTGAAGCATTCTCTCCATGAAATTGCGGAGGAAACAATGTTCCATAAGGGTTGTGTGGAAGGGCCAATGAAGCTGGTGTGTGTACAACATTAGAATGGTCAAGATTTTCCATGTTGGGACTCAAATTTGGAGGCACCTCTTGCTGCTTCTGCGAAGAATCTTCTTGACAATATTTCTCTGGATTGGTTATGGTTCCACAAGCTGCTTGTGAGGTGCTCGATAAACCCACAGGAACCGGTGGGACCAAAACCTTAGCATGATCTGGATTGGCTGCATTAAGAACTGGCCTCCCAGCATCTCGTGGCATCTCAGGGATAGTCTCTGTGAATTCATAGGTCACAGATGGAGCAGCAGCTAGCAAATTCTTCGCTTGGGTTTCCACCCAACTGTCTACTGGAGTTCTTGCATCTACTATTTGTGGTGCTCGCATTCTTGTCAAATCCTCGGAGTGGTGGCTTTGTAGTGCCATATTGACTTCAGGAATAGCAGCATTTTTTAGCCCATTATCTTGATCATATATCAGAGTATCAGAATGGACATGGGGCAGAGCTCTCTGACACAAACTACACTCCCCCAATCTCATCGACAGCCTTTGAGATGCTGAAGGCACTTGGTGCAACACATTCCGTTCTGCATGTGGTACGAGCAAGTGAGGAGGAGGCAATGGAGGAAGCTGGGACAAAGGCTGAAGTTTTGCATCACCATGAAGCTTCACAGTCTTCCCACCATTAGGGATTTCTGTATGCGGATCCACTCTCGTCTGAACTGACGTCCCGTTACTGACTTGGGAAGATGGGGTGCTAATGTGGGCTGGTGGCACATATCCATGTGGTGGCACAGCAACAACATTGATTGGTCGAGGCGATCCCATTACTAGATAAGATTGGGCATTTAACATTTGGGCCTGTTGGGGATCTACAAATTGCTGCGGCACATACTGCATTACGGAAGTCAATTCAGCTTGAGTTGGATGCGCTATACTGCTTTGATTTGGCACGACAGGAGGCGAGTCTGACTGATGGAATTCAAGAATTGGGTTTGTTCCGTAGAACTAGTGGGCGGCAGTAGCTCCTGTACATCTTGCGCAGCAAAAACCGACTCCGACGCATCTTGAGCAGATGTAGCTCGGGGGGACACATGGTGAGCTGACGTACCTTCGTTGACGATGACTTCGGCGGCGGCCATCATTCCATCTGAATTCTGCGTGGATGAGAAGCTCGTCACGCTGTCCTTTCTCCTGATGCTCGAGTCCAATCCGTTGACAGCCTCAAGATATCTCGCGCCGGTGTCCTGAAGGTCAAGATAAGGGTCAAGAGGATTGACGGCGGCGCCAGTAACGTCAGAGGGCGAGAAGAGGAAGACTCGAAGCTTGGTCGAGGGGCTCTCGGCTGCGAGCTTGTCGCACTCCTCCATCATGTTCTCCAGGTCCTCAGCGGTGGATACGGAGATGAGAGCGTCGAGGTCTTCCCCAGGGAGCTGGTAGCGGAGCACAATCGGGCCGGCGAAAGCCTCGCTCATCCTGCGGAGGATCTCGGGCAAGGTGGAATCGCGGCAGACGGTGATGATTCGGGTCTCCCCGCCAGCGTAGCGAAGGGCGCCGTCGCTGAGGCGGGGGAGGATCCTGCCGCCATAGCTGCAGAGGAGCTTGACCTTCCGATCGCCAGCGGATGAGGCGGTGGTGGACGGGTGAACGGCAGCGGAAGTGGAATCGGTGGGGCGGAGGGGTAAGGAATCCTTGGATTCGGAGGCCATGAGGGGGCGGGGATGGGAAAGCTACACCTACGATTTGGGGGCGTGATGGGGATGGGATGAAACCCTACGAGGAGGGAGAAGGGAATCGAGGAGGAATCCGAAGATGGGGGATGCGGAAATAACCGTATCGATACGCTGATTACCAGATCAGTAATTACAGATAAATCATCATAAATAAGTATATATATATATATATATATATATATATATATATATATATAAGTTGCCACACGGCAACATACTAAATGAGTATAATTTATTTATTTATTTTAGATTTCTCAAAAAATATTTAATTTTTTTTTTAAGAATAAATTATAATTATGATTGAATGTTTCAAATTCTGATGGAAGATTTTGTGAAAAATACAAAAATGGAAACATATCGATCGATAATATTATCTTTTTCGAATGAAAGATAAAATCATATATTTAATTTGATTCAATGGTAAATTTATTACTTTTATATTTTTTTATATTTTTTCTTGTATTTAACCTAAGGGACAAGAACATTTTAATGCAAAATTAATCTGAATTGGATCAATAAAATGAGTTATCTTTCTACTTTGAGTATAAGTTATTGGGCTAACAAATTATATGTTATTTAATGAAAGTGTGAAACCCCCAATTAATTTTACATCAGAGATAATATTTACATTGATTTATAAGGATATATTTATTATTTATTAATTTTATTTTAAATATTTTGATATGCGACTTGGATTCAATCAAGTTAATAAGCCAATTAATACATTGAGAAGTTTGATCATAAAATAAATACAACAAATTGAATAGCTAATATAACAAAAAAATTTGAGGAAGTGTTCAAATAAAAATAATAATTTGCCTTCCAAAATTAATACAGTTTGGTGTGGTTAGAAAAATTTTCACACAAGATTTTATTTTTAGATTTTTTTTAAATTATTTTTATTTCTTTTACAAAAGAGACTATGTATCATTCCCAACAAATACATTTTCTTCATCCAATTTTTTTAAGAATGATAAAAATGGCCAGCCTTAAAGAAAGTATAATTGATATGTCTATTTAATGGCACAATCTTAGCTTTAAAATCTCAAAAAAAAAAACACACACACACAAAGATATGTGTTTTATTTATTTTTATTTTATTAATTTTAATTTTAAATAGGAGTTTGCAAAGTGACAGTTGACTGTTGAGAGATAAAAGTAGTATTAGCCGTGAGTTGAGAGATAAAGAACGGTGGAGATGTGAAGATCCGTGGGAGATCCTTACGAAAGTAGTACGAACGGTCGAGATTTACAGAGCCGGGGGAGATCCTTACCGGCAGTGGCGAGCCGATCTTTCAGATTCCACCCCTATTCTTTACCATATTTTTTGGGAATCATTTTATGATTCCAAGAAATAATAAGGGCCTCAATGCAACAATCTCAGGGGAAAATATGCTTACTCAAACAATGCCAAGGGCTTCATTGCAAAACTGCGTCGCTCCAACGGCTAGTTTTGTCTACCGTTGAGCCCCAAACGTTCCGAAACTCCTCTTACAATCCTTAAATCAGCACGCTCTTCCTTTCCTTCTCCCGAAGTCGAATTCCCAAGAAGAAAGAAGAAGAAGAAGAAGATGGCGTACGCTTACACTCCCACCTACTACTCCTCCTTCCACGACACCATCACCTCCCTGTGCAAGTCGATCCTGCCCTTCGGCCTCAAGAGCCGGCGGCCGCCGCTGCCGGACCAGAAGCTGGCCAAGTGCCACTCCGACAGCCTTAAGTGGCAGCAGGACTCCTTCCACCGAATCCTTCACCTCATGGGCCTTCACAAGGAAGGAATGGTGCCCGAGAGCGACGTGGCCGCCTTCTGCACCCATATGCTCGACACCCTCATCGCCGCCCCTAGGGATCCAGACCCGCCCGGCGTCATCCGCGACAAGCTTCTCTTCTTGCAGGTTTTCCCAAATCAGAACCCCTTCTTTTTCCTCCTCATCTTACATCTTTTTTCCTTGAGAGAGTGAAAAGGAAGAGCAAGAATCGAAGCAGTTGTTCCTTTCAAGTGAATCTGAGGGCCTGCAAGTGATAAAAAAGGGATTTTTATTTCCCCCTTCTCTTGTAGGAATTGTTGTATGCTAAATGCATCTCTGCGGAGGTGTACCATTCATCCAAGAGGCCTCTGCTGCAGAGGCTCGCGATGCACGGCGCGGAGCTCGATTGCCGCGACGTGATCGTCCGGTGCCCGACGATGAGCTCCGAGGAGGAGTGGTCGTTCATAGAGCTCGGGGACAAAGAGCCCCCTCCGGCTGTAGAGAAGGCGAAGCACCGAACTCCCATCAAAGCCTTCATCGGCAATGCGGCGTCGTGGACGACGGGGAAGGGGAAGAAGGACTCCTCCCAAACGAAGAAGGGGCCTTTAGGCTCCGTGGATGTGAACGCCATGGACCCATCAAGGCCTTCGATGGAGAACCCCTTTTGGGCCAGGAACCAACCGAGCGACAAGAGCTCGATCCTGATGCCGGAGGGCTCCCCGTTGATCCCCATCAAGTCCGACAAAGGGAAGAGGAAGGCATTCCAAGAGCTGTTCCGGAGAGAGAGGCGAGATGAGAACGAGAACAGCGAGCCCCTAATTGCTGAGCCGGAAGAGAAACCGATGAGGCCGACGAAGAAGCACTGGGGACTTGACGTGCTGAAGAAATGGAAGAGAGGTAGCGGCAACGAGGACGAATCCACCACTCCCTACTTGCCCCCAGGGAAGAGATCGGATGAGGTTTCGTCCATCGCCTGCACCCTTGCCGCGAGCCCCGTCGGCGAAGGCCCCGACACGAAGCGGCTCAAGAAGAAGATGCACTCTGACGAGGTCTGAGACATTGCATTCTGTTCATGCTGTAGACGGATAGATAGAAAGTATCTGAATCGTAAATGACTTTCACAGTCTTCTCTCCCTCTCGTTGAAGGTCTCGGCAGAGAAGATAAAGACGGAACTCAGTCGAATTCAATCGGAGCTGTGCGCGAGGAATCCAAACCTTAATTTCTCGTAAACTCTATTCCGAGAACCAGTGTCTTCCTTCTTCTATCTACAGCCATGATCACAAGGAGCGTTTACCTCTCTCCACCGTGACAGGGACGAACAGATCGAGGCAATATCAACCAAGCTTCCCATCGACAAGGCCGACTTGAACGACTTCTTTCCCAAGTGAGCTCTGAGGAAACGCTACTCTGCTGCGGCTTTGATTCTAATGCAAGGAAACTCTACTCCATCGTTGCAGGTCATGGTGTGACAGGCACGGAGCCGTCGTGCTCGACGTGGTGAGGAAGGAGTTCAAAGGTCATGTGGGGGAGATGGAGGCCCTCCGTAGCGCTGCAAGAGACGAGCATGGCAGTGCAGAGAAATGGGTAGCCTTCCAAGAGAAGGATGACAGCTTCCATCTCAATCTCTTCTCTCACAAGTCATGAACCACAAGACTTCACATTGATCTCTCTCTCTCTCTCTCAAAGCATGCATGTCATAGTTCTTAGAATGTGTGTGATTCTTCTCTCTCCAAATTGATTTCTTTTGCTGTCTGTAAGTGAGAGACGTATGAATGAATCTCTTCCCAGTTCGTATCTAATGCAGAGGGGATTCCTTGACATACTCATATAGTCTTTTCCTTGTCATCTCAATCATCTGATGCAATAAATGCAGACCCCAAACATCTTCTGCCATTCTGCTGCAGCATTGAACAATCTCAATCGATAAAAGGTAAAAGACAATTGAATAGAATTGCTGCAATCAAAAGCTGAACACAGATTACATACTACACAAAGAAGTAAGAAATTTAACTCAATCATCTAAAGATATCCCAGAAATGACAATTGAATAGAATTTTGCTTACCTCTCAGTTTAAGCAGACAACATCATGAGGTCAGAAGAATTTTGATTTCCCAAAGCTTCCTACTTTCTTTTGGGCACTTCTTCGATATCCTCGTGACGCAGAGATCAGATTGATAAGCAACTACTTCAATTGCACAACATGGAGACAGCATTATGATGTCAAACTGTTGCAGAAAGCAAGAGAGTTCAGATGTTATGTTGCATGAGAAGAATGGAGACGGATGGAAATGGCTGGCTTCCTTTTGGTTCGAAGAAAAAGGAACAGAGGTCACATGTGACAATGACCGAAATGGATTCGAGGAAAGAGGAATTGCATAAATCCTGTTAGGTTACATATCACGTAACCAAAAGAAGATCTAATTCTTCTTACGACAACACTATGGTCGAAGAATGATTTTGATATCTACGGCTAAGTTTTATTAAGGCAAATATTCAAATATTATATATTTTGAAGAAAGATTCCGATACTCGTCTTCTCGTCTCTTCGTATCTGACCACTATAAACAACCAAAGAAGAGTATCTTCTATCAAGATCATCTACTGAGAAATTTAATCATATTTACTGAATAAAATTATATACTATTTCTCTCTATGACTCGATTAATATATTTTTCTTGAGAGAATCGTAACAATTCTTGATATTTATCTCTAAATATTTTAATACCAATAAAATGAGTTGTCTCATCCATATTAATTATATTAAAATTTTTGGCGTAAAATACTGAGCAATAGTATTTTCATTAAATTAAAAAAAAAATAATGGTATTATGAAACTTTATATATCGTTATTCAAAAGTTTGTTTAAGATCATAAATAGATATTCTAAATTTATAAGCCAAACTTTTCTTTCTTTGCAAATCCTTTAAGTTATTCCATATAGATTTTCTTATCTAAATCTTCATTTAGAAAATTTATTTTCATATCCATATGATATAAGTTAAGATCATAATAGATTTCTTCATGAGTTCATTTAAAAATTAGAAAAAATATCTTGTTGTAGTCAATGCTTTCTTTAGGGGCAAAACTATTGACTAGTTTATATAACTTGATATTCTTCTTTGAGTCATGTTTAATATTAAAAATTTATTTATAAATCAATATTTTTATAATTATTGAACAACTAGATGATTTTCAAATACCACTAATCCATTAATTTTAACTCTTTTTCTATTATACCATTCACTTTTCAAGATCGTTAATTTTCAAATTTTATACAAATAATAAGGGGTCCTGTTTGATTTTTATGTCATTATTTGATTCTTGCAAATATACCACATAATTATTAGAAATGATATATCTCCTTTTCTTTTAAGATTTTCTCAAAACTAACAATTATGATTTTCTTATTAGATTATTAACTATTACATTAATATCATATGAGAGTTCATTAATATTATTTTATTATTTATCCCTCATCAATTTATTCAATGATTTACAGAATAGCTATCTATCAAATAAAATATGATAAAGGAGCATCAATGTATATATCTTCAATATTAGGAATCTAAGTAAAAGATCAAAATCTTGATTGTCATCTATAAAATTAACTACTACTATTAAATATGATGATTTTTAATATGTAATGAGAATCAGATCGTGATGAAATCACGATAATGAGATTGATTCACCTTTAAACGGAGACTTGATCGTAGATTATTCGAAAAGGACATTGAGATAACCGAATAAACAGTATGTACCCGTTCATATGATGGATGCGGGTTGGTCTTCATTATAACTCGAATAGTAATCAAAATATCATGAGACTTTTCTTATTTTAATTTTAATTCTTCCACATATCTAAGTTTCATTTATCCTTTATTTGTGATGTTAATGAATTTTAAATGAGCTAAAATAAGAAAAAAAATAAGAAAAAATTATAAAAGAAGAGCTCACTATGTCAAAATTTTTAAACTTTATAGCATTATTAGTCGTAACAAGGATTTATCCTAGAATTCTTCGAATATCATAATAATGAGCTGTAATCAGTTTTTTCTTTAAGGTACCACACAATGACTTGTTAACAAATTTCAATGCAAAAATTTTATTCTATAATAAAATCTAAATATTATCAATAATTATCATAAAACTAGGCCTAAAGAGCTCTTTCCCAATTATTTATTTCAATTACATGTACTATAGAATTTTCAATAATTAAGTATATAATCCTTTCAGCAAGTCCGGATAATAATATAATGGGAAGTACTATTGTAAAATAAAAATAATATAATATTAGTGTCTTGAGTTTTTTTAATAAATGTTAAACTATTGATATCATCCTTATTTCATCTTTGGGTAAAATATTAACATATCTAGTATTCACACAAAATTTTATAATTTTGAAGGATCAATATCATTATTATGGAATATTATTGCTATATTTAGGTATATAAGTATAAACTATAAGGATATCTGAAATAATATTATTATACCTCATCATGTAAGTATTTAAAATAGATATTCCTTTAGGATCATCTAAATATCCTAATTATATATGTTATTTTGAATATTATTTTTAATATCATTTATAACTAATTCTATAATATAATTTTATAAATTTATTAGTCCAAAATATATTGGCAACTATAAAACTAATATAAAATATATAAAATATATCTTAATATCATATAAATGATAAAATATTTATTTAATTTTATACCTCTAAGTCTAAGACCACTTTAGCGATTACAAGTCATATAAAACTTAAAAATATAAATCATAAATAATATTCACATAATTTTAATTACTATAATTTATATAGAAATAATTTAATAATAATAAATAATAATCATAATATTTTTCAAACATTAATCAGTCAAAATGAAAACTTATATGATGACTGTAATCATAATAAAACAAAAATTATATCTTTATGTGAAAAATAAATATTATTTTATAATTTTTATTATATATATATATATATATAACTATATAAATATCCAATAATAATAATTAGAATTTAAGTACCACAAGCAAATAAAAATATCAATATTTAATAAATAAAAACTTTAAACGAACACTATAAATTTTTTTTAATTCCATAAAGGATCCTAAATTGGCCCAATCAACCCTATTAATTGGGCCACCCAAATTGGGTTCAATCTATTTTGGGCCAACCACTAGTCCATTTAGACTAATCAAGATTGATTTGGAATTGCCAACATCTAATTGATCTAAAACCGAAATTAGGTCAGTCAAAATCTTAAAAGAGAAAGTCAAAGTTGGACTTTGATTTAGTAGGTCAAAATGAGGGCTTTAAATCTAGGTAAAATCTATATTTGATCTGTAAACATATTATCATTCCATCTAAAAATAATAATGATACCGATATATAAAGAAAACTAGACTTTTTTTTTTTTTGTTCCTCTTAGAAAAATATTAATCTTTTTCTGTATACAAAGTAATTATATTTGACGATCAGCTAACCGAACGGTCAAAAGAGAGGAACTAAACAAATGCAAGAATTCAGGAGCCTAATGTATCTTTGATTTGATTGGAGGAATCTCGATGAACCGTCCAAAGCCGAACAGAGAGAAAGGAGATAGGGAGAGGAGACACATCACGAGATTCGTGTGCGCCACATTAATACAATTCGAATATTATCCTAGTCGATTATTTCATGAGAAAAAGAACGTTCAGTTTAAGTTGAGACACATTTCGAGTTGAGCGATGTCGAAGCTGTTAGATCATCGATCCAAAATATCAATATGAAAGGGGATAATTATATATTACCTCCTATAGTTAATTATGATTAGCATCATAATCTTTATTTTTTAAAAAATAGCATTGGATCCCTATATTTGAAAGTGAAATATTTAATCGTAATTCTCTTTACATCGTTGAGGGAATAAAAAAATGCATCTGTTGTCATGTGTAAATAGGATACAAATGAAAAAGATAAAAATATAATTTTATTATTTTTAAATTATTAATTTTATATAAAATAATATAATGTGGTAAATAGAGAGCCACCAAATCCAGTCCTCACATCCCATCATGCTCCACTCCACTAGTAGTAGCTACCTCAATAATGACAATAGAGTAACAACACTGGCAACTCCTTCGACACTACCTCCAACTCCAAAATCCATCTCGAGATGCATGGATGCCACTCAATGCGCCACCACCTTCGTTCACGCGACACCTCTGCCTTCAAGCAAGTGGTACAGTTGCTCATTGGCTTCGCTGAAACCAAAGTGAAACATTGTGATGAATTACCACCGATAGTCATTGGCCCCAAGAGGTGAGCTTTCAAGCTGTAGGAGCGTCGCAACAACCTCAAGACGATCGACCATAGGATCAACAAGTGCAACGAGTGAGTAAGTTAGAAAGAGAAGAGAAAAAGAAAATCGATCAAGCAAGTTTATATATAATTAATAATTTAAAAGATAGTGAAATAATATTTTTATCATTTCGCTTTTGTTTGCACATACATGTACTTTTTCTTTTTTTTCATGACGAAGTGTAAAGATTCTAATATTATTATTATTTTTAAATATAAAATTAAAATATTAATAATAATTAACTATACGGTGATAATTGTATAAAAGCGGATGGATATGACGTTGACCAGTGACCACGGTCAACGAATAAATTGACCAGATGGCTGATGTGAAGGTCTGAAGAAGGATGGAAGTACCATAGGACGGATATCGTGGGACTGCCTCTATGTCAGAAGATCAGCCCTCTACAAGGTAAGCAATCACGGGCTTGACAGGGTTGACTTGCAGCACAAGATCGAACGTTGACCTTAAGCAATTCGAGGTAATCGAGATATACCAAGTTGGTCGATCAATCAATAATGATAGAGCTTTGGCGACACACGCACCAGCAATTATAGTACACATCTTATCACCAAATATCTAAATGTTAAAAAAAAAAAGAATGTTATGAATAAAATAGCATATACACTGTCACGACAGTCTCTCTCTCTCTCTCTGTCTCTCTCTCTCTCTCTACGTTCACGGTACAGTTTTCTCCAATGATGATAATTTATCAAGTCATTAAACTTCGCAACAGGTTTAATAAGATGACCATCTAATTCCACAAATGCATGAAAGACATTTTCCATCTCCCAAGAGACTTGGTTGGTATCAACAGAGAAATCCATGCGTCTTTCACAAGTTGGCATACGGGCATTATCCCAATTCCCTGGTGCAATACAACCAATTCTTTGTTAACCAAAGCCAGCAATGGTGTCAAAAGAATGATGAACATATGCTAAAAATAATTTGCTGGAATCACACTGATCATATGCATCATTATTGGTAATGCAAAGAGAGATTAAGGTCAATTAAACATGAAAGAGTGTCTAGCGATAACTCACATGCACCGCCCCAATACATTGAGATATCAGGAC